ACCGTAGACTTGGTGCGGGTGGCAGGAACAGGCCGGACCGGGCTGGCGACGCGCAACGTAGGTTTGGTGCGAGTGGCAGGAACAGGCCGGGTCGGGCTGGCGACGCGCACCGTAGACTTGGTGCGGGTGGCAGGAACAGGCCGGACCGGGCTGGCGACGCGCACCGTAGGTTTGGTGCGAGTGGCAGGAACAGGCCGGGTCGGGCTGGCGACGCACACCGTAGGCTTGGTGCGTGGAGCAGGGACAGGCCGGGCTGGGCTGTCGACGCACACCGTAGGCTTGGTGCGTGGAGCAGGGACAGGCCGGGCTGGGCTGTCGACGCACACCGTAGGCTTGGTGCGTGGAGCAGGGACAGGCCGGGCTGGGCTGTCGACGCACACCGTAGGCTTGGTGCGTGGAGCAGGGACAGGCCGGGCTGGGCTGTCGACGCACACCGTAGGCTTGGTGCGTGGAGCAGGGACAGGCCGGACTGGGCTGGCGACGCACACCGTAGGCTTGGTGCGTGGAGCAGGGACAGGCCGAACCGGGCTGTGGAGACGGATAGGAGGCCTGGAGTGAAGAGCGGCCACCACCCGTCCTGGCTGAATGCCTACCCTCACACACTCTGTGTGAGGCATCCGCACAGGACGTACAGGGCGGTGTACCCCTGGCCTGGTGGCCTTCTGGATCCGCCCCCTTTTCTCCTCCGTCAGCCCCGTCGTCCATGCCGTGTGCCCCCCCCCTAAAAATTTTCTGGGATTGCCTCACGACCGTCCGACGACGACCCTGATCACGCCGTAGCTCCTCTCTACGGCGCGCCTCCACCGTCTCTTCTCCCGGCGCTTCCTCCCATGTCCAGCCCAAGAGCTGCCCCTGGACACGCTGCTTGGTCGTTGCATGGTGGGTTTTTCTGTCACGATCGTCATATGGAACAGACCAAGGCGCAGCGTGATGAACAAACATGACTTTAATTAGTTAAAGCGTCAAAATACAAAACAAAACACGACTCGTGACGTCCACGGTATCAATGACCGAACACGGAACAAAAACCCACAACCACAAAGGGAAAACATACAGTTTAAATATGGCTCCCAATCAGAGACAACCAGCCAACAGCTGACACTCGTTGCCTCTGATTGGGAGTCACTCAGGCAAACATAGAATACAACAAACTAGAATGAACACCAACATAGAAATACACACATAGAAATGAACACACCCTGGCTCAACATAATGAGTCCCAGAGCCAGGGTGTGACATTCACAAAGTCTGCTGCCTCAGTTTTTATGATGGCAATTTGCATATACTCCAGAATGTTATGAAGAGTGATCAGATGAATTGCAATTAATTGCAAAGTCCCTCTTTGCCATGAAAATGAACTTAATCCTCCAAAAACATTTCCACTGCATTTCAGCCCTGCCACAAAAGGACCAGCTGACATCATGTCAGTGATTCTCTCGTTAACACAGGTGAGAGTGTTGACGAGGACAAGGCTGGAGATCACTCTGTCATGCTGATTGAGTTAGAATAACAGACTGGAAGCTTTAAAAGGAAGGTGGTGATTGAAATCATTGTTCTTCCTCTGTTAACCATGGTTACCTGCAAGGAAACACGTGCCGTCATCAAAGCTTTGCACAAAAAGGGCTTCACAGGCAAGGATATTGCTGCTAGTAAGATTGCACCTAAATCAACCATTTATCGGATCATCAAGAACTTCAAGGAGAGAGATTCAATTGTTGTGAAGATGGCTTCAGGGCGCCCAAGAAAGTCCAGCAAGCGCCAGGACCGTCTCATAAAGTTGATTCAGCTGCAGGATCGTGGCACCACCAGTGCAGAGCTTGCTCAGGAATGGCAGCAGGCAGGTGTGAGTGCATCTGCACGCACAGTGAGGCAAAGATTTTTGGAGGATGGCCTGGTGTCAAGAAGGGCAGCGAGGAAGCCGCTTCTCTCCAGGAAAAACATCAGGGACAGACTGATATTCTGCAAAAGGTACAGGGATTGGACTGCTGAGGACTGGGGTAAAGTCATTTTCTCTGATGAAACCCCTTTACGATTGTTTGGGGCATCCGGAAAAAAGCTTGTCCGGAGAAGACAAGGTGAGCGCTACCATCAGTCCTGTGTCATGCCAACAGTAAAGCATCCTGAGACCATTCATGTGTGGGGTTGCTTCTCAGCCAAGGGAGTGGGCTCACTCACAATTTTGCCTAAGAACACAGCCATGAATAAAGAATGGTACCAACACATCCCCCGAGAGCAACTTCTCCCAACCATCCAAGAACAGTTTGGTGATGAACATTGCCTTTTCCAGCATGATGGAGCACCTTGCCATAAGGCAAAAGTGATAACTAAGTGGCTCGGGGAACAAAACAACAATTGTGACATTTTGGGTCCATGGCCAGGAAACTCCCCAGACCTTAATCGCCATTGAGAACTTGTGGACAATCCTCAAGAGGCGGGTAGACAAACAAAAACCCACAAATTCTGACAAACTCCAAGCATTGATTATGCAAGAATGGGCTGCCATCAGTCAGGATGTGGCCCAGAAGTTAATTGACAGCATGCCAGGGCGGATTGCAGTGGTCTTGAAAAAGAAGGGTCAACACTGCAAATATTGACTCTTTGCATAAACTTAATGTAATTGTCAATAAAAGCCTTTGACACTTATGGAATGCTTGTAATTATACTTCAGTATACCATAGTAACATCTGACAAAAATATCTAAAAACACTGAAGCAGCAAACTTTGTGAAGACCAATACTTGTGTCATTCTCAAAACTTTTGACCACGACTGTATATGTACGCAACAACCTGCACATATTTCTCGCACTTCTTGTTTGCTCTTTGACGCCTTGGCAACCCAACTGGTGCGCGTCTACTCCAAGCCTGGGTTGGATCAAAACAAGGTTTATCTTCAGTTACTGTTTACAGCTCTATTTTTTACCGACATCTGAAATGCAATGGCATGGACAGATGATACAGTGGGGGAAAAAGTATTTAATCAGCCACCAATTGTGCAAGTTCTCCCACTTAAAAAGATGAGAGAGGCCTGTAATTTTCATCATAGGTACACGTCAACTATGACAGACAAATTGAGAGAAAAGAAATCCAGAATATCACATTGTAGGATTTTTTATGAATTTATTTGCAAATTATGGTGGAAAATAAGTATTTGGTCACCTACAAACAAGCAAGATTTCTGGCTCTCACAGACCTGTAACTTCTTCTTTAAGAGGCTCCTCTGTCCTCCACTCGTTACCTGTATTAATGGCACCTGTTTGAACTTGTTATCAGTATAAAAGACACCTGTCCCCAACCTCAAACAGTCACACTCCAAACTCCACTATGGCCAAGACCAAAGAGCTGTCAAAGGACACCAGAAACAAAATTGTAGACCTGCACCAGGCTGGGAAGGCTGAATCTGCAATAGGTAAGCAGCTTGGTTTGAATAAATCAACTGTGGGAGCAATTATTAGGAAATGGAAGACATGCAAGACCACTGATAATCTCCCTCGATCTGGGGCTCCACGCAAGATCTCACCCCGTGGGGTCAAAATGATCACAAGAACGGTGAGCAAAAATCCCAGAACCACACGGGGGGACCTAGTGAATGACCTGCAGAGAGCTGGGACCAAAGTAACAAAGCCTACCATCAGTAACACACTACGCCGCCAGGGACTCAAATCCTGCAGTGCCAGACGTGTCCCCCTGCTTAAGCCAGTACATGTCCAGGCCCATCTGAAGTTTGCTAGAGTGCATTTGGATGATCCAGAAGAGGATTGGGAGAATGTCATATGGTCAGATGAAACCAAAATAGAACTTTTTGGTAAAAACTCAACTCGTCGTGTTTGGAGGACAAAGAATGCTGAGTTGCATCCAAAGAACACCATACCTACTGTGAAGCATGGGGGTGGAAACATCATGCTTTGGGGCTGTTTTTCTGTAAAGGGACCAGGACGACTGATCCGTGTAAAGGAAAGAATGAATGGGGCCATGTATCGTGAGATTTTGAGTGAAAACCTCCTTCCATCAGCAAGGGCATTGAAGATGAAACGTGGCTGGGTCTTTCAGCATGACAATGATCCCAAACACACCGCCCGGACAACGAAGGAGTGGCTTCGTAAGAAGCATTTCAAGGTCCTGGAGTGGCCTAGCCAGTCTCCAGATCTCAACCCCATAGAACATCTTTGGAGGGAGTTGAAAGTCTGTGTTGCCCAGCGACAGCCCCAAAACATCACTGCTCTAGAGGAGATCTGCATGGAGGAATGGGCCAAAATACCAGCAACAGTGTGTGAAAACCTTGTGAAGACTTACAGAAAACGTTTGACCTGTGTCATTGCCAACAAAGGGTATATAACAAAGTATTGAGAAACTTTTGTTATTGACCAAATACTTATTTTCCACCATAATTTTCTCATTTTGTCTGTCATAGTTGACGTGTACCTATGATGAAAATTACAGGCCTCTCTCATCTTTTTAAGTGGGAGAACTTGCACAATTGGTGGCTGACTAAATACTTTTTTTCCCCACTGTACTTACCCACAGTTTCAGCAGTGGAACCAGGACGCACAGAATGTGCAAATAATTCAACAGCCTGTAAGTGTGGCCAACAGGGATTTTTTTTATAGCAAAAAATGCAGTTGACCTGTTTACTTGGCATATCATACAAACTGTAATTCTATGTGATATTTAACACCCACACTAATTTACAGATAAAGTTGGCTCTCTATATGACTTCATATGCAGCATCATCAAGGGAGGCATCTTTAGCCTGCAACAGCTTTAATTGAGTATTGTCTTAATAGCTTGATGACGCATATCTTCTTGATGCATATCTCAAAGGCTCACTACCTTATAGTTTTAATTGGATGTTGTATCAGGCATAGCTACTGTTAACTATGTTGAGTGAGTGGGCTGATATTGCCTGCCTCTCAACAGTAGTTCATCCATGGCAGTATTAGATGTGGGAGATAGATATTCTCCCTGGCTAAATGCCTCCAGGCAGAGATCCTCATTACAGTCCCATGTCTCCTTCCCAGGCTTCCCAGCAGCCCACCACCATCCTACAGCAGCTCCATGCTGCCATGTCATCTCCCACTCCCTCCATCCGGCCAGGACACGTCAAGCAGGGTGCGTATGGTAGGCAGGCTGTCAAGATAACTTTTCAGACAGAGCCCACGTCTCTCCATTTCTCTGAGATGTCTTTCTGTCTCCAACACATGCATGCAATATTATACAGTATATTTTCTCACCTCACTCGTTCTCTGTGTGTGTATGTCTATGTCTGTGAAACTGTGAATGTCACTGCAGGTGCCAGTTGGACCAAAGGGCCAGAGCTCAACCATCTATAATTGCAGTCTTGCTCTTTATAGCGCTCCTTCTCCACCTCTAGCCTCATCATTGTCTGTCTGTTGGTTGCTGAGGCCAGGGCAGTGATAGTTTGCTCTGACTGACTTTCTGCTCCTCTTACTTTCAACTCACTTATATTGAGGTTCATATCAGCATTGGCATTATTTCTGATATAATTCAATGAGTAGGTAGGATTCCTCTCATTTTGACAGAGTTGTACAATATAGTGTCGTTTTGCTAAATGTTTCATCAGGTTGTCGCCAGAGTACCCTGACAAGCAGCCAATGGGCAAAATCTGTATTTTCATATTGCTGGAATGATGTCAGACAGAAATTGAGGAAGGGAGAGGATAGAACATTTAGGATGGCAGATTTGATTTATAACTCATGATTGGACACCATGCGGGTTGAAAAGGGTTGATTGTCACCTAAAAGATAAAGGACAGCACAACAGACATACAGAAGAAGTTAGCTTCCATGGAGGTGTAAATATGTGTGTGTGTGTATATATATATATACATATATATAACGTTGCTTTCTGTTATTCTCCAGACCTGGTGGAGCTGATGATGATCCAGAATGCCCAGATGCATCAAGTCATCATGAACAACATGACCATGTCAGCCCTCAGCTCATTTGGCTATTCCCAGCCCCAGCTCCACCCTCTGTCTACCCCTGAGGTACTGTCATTTGGCTATTCCCAGCCCCAGCCCCACCCTCTGTCTACCCCTGAGGTACTGTCATTTGGCTATTCCCAGCCCCAGCCCCACCCTCTGTCTACCCCTGAGGTACTGTCATTTGGCCATTCCCAGCCCCAGCCCCACCCTCTGTCTACCCCTGAGGTACTGTCATTTGGCCATTCCCAGCCCCATGGAAGTGGCTGACTAGTGTTTTTCTCCACTCATATACAGGAGTAATAAATACTTTTGTGGGGGAACATTTAAAAAAATACACTGCTCAAAAAAATAAAGGGAACACTTAAACAACACAATGTAACTCCAAGTCAATCACACTTCTGTGAAATCAAACTGTCCACTTAGGAAGCAACACTGATTGACAATACATTTCACATGCTGTTGTGCAAATGGAATAGAAAACAGGTGGAAATTATAGGCAATTAGCAAGACACCCCCAATAAAGAAATGGTTCTGCAGGTGGTGACCACAGACCACTTCTCAGTTCCTATGCTTCCTGGCTGATGTTTTGGTCACTTTTGAATGCTGGTGGTGCTTTCACTCTAGTGGTAGCATGAGACGGAGTCTACAACCCACACAAGTGGCTCAGGTAGTGCAGCTCATCCAGGATGGCACATCAATGCGAGCTGTGGCAAGAAGGTTTGCTGTGTCTGTCAGCGTAGTGTCCAGAGCATGGAGGCGCTACCAGGAGACAGGCCAGTACATCAGGAGACGTGGAGGAGGCCGTAGGAGGGCAACAACCCAGCAGCAGGACTGCTACCTCCGCCTTTGTGCAAGGAGGAGCACTGCCAGAGCCCTGCAAAATGACCTCCAGCAGGCCACAAATGTGCATGTGTCTGCTCAAACGGTCAGAAACAGACTCCCTGAGGGTGGTATGAGGGCCCGACGTCCACAGGTGGGGGTTGTGCTTACAGCCCAACACAGTGCAGGACGTTTGGCATTTGCCAGAGAACACCAAGATTGGCAAATTCGCCACTGGCGCCCTGTGCTCTTCACAGATGAAAGCAGGTTCACACTGAGCACGTGACAGAGTCTGGAGACGTCGTGGAGAACGTTCTGCTGCCTGCAACATCCTCCAGCATGACCGGTTTGGCGGTGGGTCAGTCATGGTGTGGGGTGGCATTTCTTTGGGGGGCCGCACAGCCCTCCATGTGCTCGCCAGAGGTAGCCTGACTGCCATTAGGTACCGAGATGAGATCCTCAGACCCCTTGTGAGACCATATGCTGGTGCGGTTGGCCCTGGGTTCCTCCTAATGCAAGACAATGCTAGACCTCATGTGGCTGGAGTGTGTCAGCAGTTCCTGCAAGAGGAAGGCATTGATGCTATGGACTGGCCCGCCCGTTCCCCAGACCTGAATCCAATTGAGCACATCTGGGACATCATGTCTCGCTCCATCCACCAACGCCACGTTGCACCACAGACTGTCCAGGAGTTGGCGGATGCTTTAGTCCAGGTCTGGGAGGAGATCCCTCAGGAGACCATCCGCCACCTCATCAGGAGCATGCCCAGGTGTTGTAGGGAGGTCATACAGGCACGTGGAGGCCACACACACTACTGAGCCTCATTTTGACTTGTTTTAAGGACATTACATCAAAGTTGGATCAGCCTGTAGTGTGGTTTTCCACTTTAATTTTGAGGGTGACTCCAAATCCAGACCTCCATGGGTTGATAAATTTGATTTCCATTGATAATTTTTGTGTGATTTTGTTGTCAGCACATTCAACTATGTAAAGAAAAAAGTATTTAATAAGATGATTTCATTCATTCTGATCTAGGATGTGTTATTTTAGTGTTCCCTTTATTTTTTTGAGCAGTGTATATATTTTCTTTTAAATTTTGATTTATCAGCAGCACCCTCAGCACCCCTACTTCCCCGGTTATGCCTCCTCCTACCCCTGAGGTACAGTCATTTGGCTATTCCCAGTCCCATCCTCCTCCTACCCCTGAGGTACAGTCATTTGGCTATTCCCAGTCCCATCCTCCCTCTACCACTGAGGTACATTTACTGTTAGTCACATGTGCCAACTATTCATCCAGCCTGTCTGTGTGCAGCACACTCATCTTACATTATTCATCTGAAAACATGTGTTTCAGTAGGTAGAGATATTCTCAATCTGATATGACATTCTGGAAAAGTCAACAGACCGAGGTCAGAGTGGCTCCTCACATTGGCTAACGCACCTAAAAGTTATTTTTGGAGTCTGTTTTGGGTCACACTGTTCCTAGTCAGTTTAGTGGTTGTGTTGAGGCTCCATAAGCAGTTGGCCGTCCAACCCATTGCAGTGGAGAGTGAGGATGCACCCCAAATGGCACCCTATTCACTATATAGTGCACTACTGTGTCTGAATGGGCTGTTTTTATCCTCCCCTCCAGGCCAGCTGGTCCTCAGTGATACTGCAGCAGCAGGAGGAGGATCCAGAGGTGTACCACCACCACTACCAGCCTGCCCCGGCCTACCTGCCCTACCCAACCTGGGTGCCTCCACCCTAGCCTGGTCCACCACAACACCGCTGAACCCCTGGAGCTAGCACCCTCCCCACACAGAGACACCATCAGGTGATTCACAACACAACCCCATTCATAACACCTACTGTACCCACACTTATATAGACTGATGTTGTGACACAATGTGTGCCAGAGATAACAATGATACGTATGTGTGATATCATCCAGGAGGGCAGTCCCACCTCCTCCCCCACCCAGCGCTACCAGGACTGTGGGGGCTGACGTCCCTCCAGCAACAGGTACACAACTGGAACGCTCTGCACATCTCTGCTGTATATCTGTATAACACATGTCGCGGCACTAACGTTAACACATGGGTGTCCATAGCAGAACACCAGATAAAACATAGGGAGGGAGTTACCATAGAAATAGAATGACTCAATAATCAGTGGTACTGTACATACAGAACATTGATCTGGGGGATGGGAAGTCTCAAAGCCCTTATTGATCATGTACGGGGCTGTGTAACACTCTCCTAATATGTAGGATCTAACCATAGATATCTTATTAAATTACTACTACTACTGATTCCCAATTCTATGGATCCCACTAGCACCCTCTGTTAGATGATGTGAGAGTTCTGTGATGCTGGTTGGTGGTGTTGGTGCTGACTACAATAAGGAGGATCACGATGATGCTGATGAGGGTGCTGACAGTGATGGTGATTGCAATACTGTGGGTTATAATGAGGCTGATTATACTAAACACTTGTGAAGAATGTGTTCATCAGATGGTTTCCAAGTCTCTCTTTGTCTCTTGAATGCGTAGAGTACTATGATGCTACGAAGTGAAGACAGTGACAACAAGAGGAGAAATCTACAGCATCCATTCATCATTAGCCTTATTATTATGAGATAGAATCATTCTAAACTTGCCATAGTAAACAGAAATACATTTCAGAGGCACTGCAGTTTTGTTCTTTATAATAGTTATTCATAATATCATGTTTATGTATCTTGCAGAAATTGTATAATGCTCACCATATTTCCGTTTTTTTTTTTACAAATTTGAATGTGGGTATTTTTAGATTGTTGTTCCTTTACATGTTATTTTAAGTAAAGAAAATGCCAAGTTCATCATTGTTCAGTATTGTTCCATTTTTTTTTGCAGGTCTAACGCTAGGGTAGTGGGTTCGAGTCCTGACACCACCCATACATAAAATGTATGACTGTAAGTGGCTTTGGATAACAGCGTCTGCTAAATATCATAAATGTTGGTCGTATTTGTACATGCATTACACAAAATACCCAGCAGGGAGCAGCATCATCTTTGTCATGACAAAGTCAGAGGGTGCTTTTCTTTGAGCTTGTGAGTTTGTTCATAGCAGGTTGGCATTTATTGTCATGAATCTTGACCTGGAGGCAGCTCTGCAGAGAGGTCACTAACTAGCACAGCCACAAAGTCATAAAATCTGATTTTAAACCTAACCTTAACCCTAACATTAACCACACTGCTAACCCTAATGCCTAACCCTAACCTTAAGACCAAAAAGCTCATTTTTGTTTTCACACAATTTTACGATATAGCCAATTTAGACTTTTCAGCTGGCCCATCTAGCAGAAATTGCTCAGTTCTGCCTAGGGCAAGATTCATGGCAATAAACGTCAACCTGCTAGTTTATATCCATGTCTACCAGCATGTCCATCAGTATGTCACTTGTTATTTCATTGAGTTTCTGGCAAGTTCATATATACACTACATGACCAAAAGCATTCTCTTTGAACATCTCATTCCAAAATCATGGGCATTAATATGGAGTTGGTCCCCTATTTGCTGCTATAACAGCCTCCACTCTTCTGGGAAGGCTTTCCACTAGACGTTGGAACATTGCTGCGGGGACTTGCTTCCATTCTGCCACAAGAGCATTAGTGAGGTCGGGCACTGATGTTGGGTGATTAGGCCTGGCTTGCAGTCGTCGTTCCAATTCATTCCAAAGGTGTTCAATGGGGTTGAGGTCTGGGCTCTGTGCAGGCCAGTCAAGTTCTTCCACATCGATCTCGACAAACAATTTCTGTATGGACCTCGCTTTATGCTCGGGGGCATTGTCATGCCGATACAGGAAAGGGCCTTCACCAAACTGTTGCCACAAAGTTGGAAGCACAGAATCGTATAGAATGTCATTGTATGCTGTAGCGTTAATATTTCCCTTCACTGGAACTAAGGGGCCTAGCCCAAACCATGAAAAAAACAATCCCAGACCATTATTCCTCCTCCACCAAACTTTACAGTTGGCAGTACGCATTGGGGCAGGTAGCATTCTACTGGCATCCGCCAAACCCAGATTAGTCCATCGGACTGCCAGATGGTGAAACGTGATTCATCACTCCAGAGAACGTGTTTCCACTTATCCAGAGTCAATTGCAGCGAGCTTTACACTACTCCAGCCGACGCTTGGCATTGCGCATGGTGATCTTAGGCTTTTGTGTGGATGCTCGGCCATGGAAACCCATTTCATGAAGCTCCCGACGAACAGTTCTTGTGCTGACGTTGCTTCCAGAGGCAGTTTGGAACTCAGTAGCGAGTGTTGCAACCGAGGACAGACGATTTCTACGTGCTACGTGCTTCAGCACTCAGCTGTCCCGTTCTGTGAGCTTGTGTGGTCTACCACTTCGCAGCTGAGCCGTTGTTGCTCCTCGACTTTTCCACTTCACAATAACAACACTTACAGTTAACCGGGGCAGCTCTAGCAGGGCAGAAATTTGACGAACTGACTTTTTGGAAAGGTGGCATCATATGACGGTGCCACGTTGAAAGTCACTGAGCTCTTCAGTAAGGCCATTCTTCTGGAGATTGTATGGCTGTGTGCTTGATTTTATACACCTGTCAGCAACGGGTGTGGCTGAAATAGCCGAATCCACTAATTTGAAGGTGTGATCACATACTTTTGTATGTCTAAGCATACTCCTTGAGCTGTCTGGTGGTTATTTCTTTCAAGAAACTAAAAATGCTTCTCTGCGTCTTTGCTAAAATCTGAGTAAAAGATTGAAAGGAATATTATTCAGTACATTTAGTAATTGCTTGCTTTTCTACCAACCTTGCCAGCAGGCATGCCAGCTAAGATAATTAGACAAGCTAGCTACTCTAACTTGATTGATAGCTTGAATTGCCTTTTTGGTAGCTAGTTATGAGGTTGGGAGATTGGGAACCTATCTGGGTTAGCTAAAACGAACTGCATAAAATTGCTAGGTGGCTAGTAGTATTACATAGAAACAACAACAACAACAACAACAAATATACATGTAAAAAATGGACTAATCTGAGGGGGCACATGCCCCTGTGCCCCCTATGAGCATGACGCCTCTGTGTGTCCATGTATACATGTGTGGGTGCATGTGTGCCGTGAGTGGGTGGGTGCATACAGTCATGTGTTAGTGAGTAGTAGTGACGTGTATTCATAGTTGCCAAGGGAAGCCAGGCTTCCCCCAAAATCTAACAATAAAAAATAAACAAACATAACAAATTATTTCTCTTTCATTTCTCTTTGTTTCATTCAATTCCTTCAATTCGCATGAGGCTAAACGTATCTCATTGGAGAAAGCATCCGAGCGAACGAAACAGCTCCCCTCTGTCTCAGTACGTGTAGCCCATCTGTGGTCCTGACAGAGGCAACGTTGATAACACTAGCAAACTTTTGTAAACCGTTGTAGGAGGAATCATGGACAAAGAACAGGAATTTTGGAACAGGGAGACAGAAAGATAGATTTCTGAGGAGGAATGGAGGCGGCAAAAGAGGAAGAAGAGGTCGAAGACAATGAGGAAAGCAGAGGTTGGATTTGAATTTGAGGAAGATGGTGATAAAAATGGAGATGGGGTGTCGATGAAGATTGGTGTCAAGTGCAAACAAAGTGAGCCGTGCGCCATACTGAGTTCTAGAGGTAAAATGGAAGTGAATGAGAGCGAGTTAAGTGAGGTGGTAGGTGTGGTGAAGAGCTCAGAACCCGAGCCTGTCATCAATGGATAAAGAATAATCTGGTCCAGTAGTGACATTTGTGGAGAAAGTTGACCCTTGCCTTTTGGCAGATCCATTTGTGGTTTCAGGGTGGGTGAGGAAGGAGTTAGGTGCAGTTGAATCAGTGAAGGTAACCTGTAGCGGACTTGTGATATTTGTTTGTGTTCTTCTGACCAGAGGGAGCGGGCGCTCCGTGTCACGCAACTTGGGTCAAGATCTGTTTCTTGCTTTGCTCTTAGGAACAGGGCAATATTGAAAAGAGGGATTTCTGAGGTAGTGTTAAGTGTTGAGGTGGAGCAATTGAAGTTGAAGATTCCTGGTGTTGGTGAGGCTTGCCGTTTGGTGCGACGTAGACCTAGTGGGTCACTGTCAGTCCTTCTGAGTCAGAGTCTCTACTAGACAAAGTCATGTCAGGATATATCAGTTATCCTGTTAGAGCTTTTGTGCCGAATCCACTGCGCTGTTTCAGGTGCAACATTTATGGTCATGTCGCAGCAGTTTTAGGAGGGAGATTCCAAGTTGTGGGAAGTGTGCAGGAGGGCATGGGATAGAGGGTTGTGTAGTTTCGGTGGATAAAGTTGTGTGTGTCAACTGTAGGGGTGCCCATGTTGCTGGGGATCGGAAGTGTCCGGTGCGAGAGAGGCAGGTTGAGGTGGCCAGAGTCAGAGTAGTGCAGAAGGTGTCGTATGCTGAGGCAGTGACGAAAGTAGAGGAGGATTCGTCAATGAGTAGTAGATTTGCGCCAGCACAGAGGAATAGACCAATGAGTGGTATATGCTTCAGTAAGTTTGTCTTCTTAGCAGTCATAGCTATGGTTATCAACTGTTCCACAGAAATGGAATGTAAATCACAGAAAATAGATGTTGTGGTGGCAGCTGCAGAGAAGTATTTGGGGAAACGAGAGTTACAGGGTGTGTTGAGTGGTGGTGTTCCGTCCTCTCAGGCCGTTGGCATGGTGCAGGAGCAGATAGGGTCAAAGTAGTGGAATGGGGTAGTGGGTTTTTATTGAGTGTAGGTGGCAGCTGCAGAGAAGTACCTGGGTGTATGAGATTCTACTGCAGAAGAGTTACAAGATGTTCTGAGGTTTTTTATTTTTATGAAATAGTGGTATATAGGTGTATGGTTGGTTGGTGGTGCATTTTGTAAAATAAATTCCCCCTTCCTTTTAATTTTTGTATCACAAATGTAATGCGATTGAACACACACTACCGCACAGTGTGAACACCGTAATACCAAAGAAGAACAAGATGAAGATGGTCCTGGCTCACAAAAAAAAAAAAAATGTCAAGGGAGGCCAGTTTGGATTTGGCTTCACACCAATCACATCACATCAGAAGCCAAACATCAGTAGACAGGAAAATAAACTTGAATTGTTGCATTTTATTATGTCGTTCTCCTCCGGTGGTTAGCTAGCTAGCTAAAATCGTCCCTTTCCTAAATTAGCCATGGATGGAGATAGGGATTTGGACTTTTGGTTTTTCTTAATTCTCTGTACTGGCCAGTGATTATAACGGCGATTCTGATCCAACCATAAATTCATACATTGTGCCCCTGGCCTGAGAGGATGGAAGTTCAACATGTAGCTAGATGTAGTATGCTGATGTTAACTAGCTGGCCTGGCACATCGTTGCCCATAAAAGGGAGTTAGGCTAGCGAGCAAGCATTTTAGCCAGGTAGCCTAGGACAACAAAAACTAAAAGTGTGTACTGTATGACAGAGTCAGACTGTTTAGGCAACATGAAAGAGGAGGATGGCATTGGCGCTTCTCTAGAAGTAGGGTGAGTCAACATGTTTTTTTCAACTTGCATGCACACACAGAAATCAATGCCATGGACAGCCACATCATATTTAGGTTATGTTGATTGGACTAAATTGTTTTTGGTATCTTTTAGTTGACACTGTATTAGACTAAGCATAGGTGATTAGATGATGTTGAAGTTGAAATGGTGCTAGAATAGTGGAGGCAGCTCCTGTTTTCTTTGCGACTTGTGGTATCGCCGTGGTTCTAAATCAATAGTTGTTTAGTAGTCCGAAAATGTTGGAAACATTAACTTGCTTGGCTATGCTGCAGGTCATGTAATTGTTTGTTACATGCAATATGTTTTGTGGACTTCACCAGACAGATGTTGCTCTCCGGTTTTGTGATGAAATGAAGGTCTGGTTGAATTTATTCTCCCACTGTGTCTTCTTATTGTCTCGGCCTTTAGGCCTATATATCACAGTGACAAGGCATATGAACTATCAGGTTATAGAGCAAACAACGCAATTATCACATCACACAGGTTGTAATATGGCTTTTTTTCCCTGGCTTGGCTTCCCCAGTGATTTTACCCACGCACCGTTACTGGTGAGTAGGTCTGTTTATCTGTGGTGTTTGTGGGCGTGCCTGTTGGTGTATCATCAGTGTGTCCGTGGAGTCACCCTTCCAGAAAAACACAGCCTTTGATATCAGAGTTACATAAGAGCCTATTGATAGGTCACAAGAAAATGAACACATGTTTTGACAGGCATTCACAGTGACTCTGCATTCTACCGTACTTTACCACAGTATGACCTCCCATGACCCCCTGGGGGTTTAAATGTACTGTGATGAGTACACAGGGGGATTAGAAGGCAAGAGATCAAAAGCAAACTGACTCCATTAACCCTAAAGGTGATGAAGAATACAATGAAATCTGGGGTCAGTCTTGAAATGGGAGACAATACAGCACATACTGATAATTCACAAAATGGATGGATGGATTAATTCAATCAAGAGTTACACAATATTCATATCAGTGCTGGAATGCATGTACAGTTAGTGGATGGAGTAGGAGATATGGGATAAGGGCTATCTGATGGACTAAGACTTTGGGGAGTCCGTGTTGTGTTGAGTTTTTCCACATGAACTTCTCTCTCCATGTCAACTGACATTCCTTGGCTACTGGAGGGGGGTTTCATGACTTTGCAGCGTCCATGGTGGATTCTGCCTGTTTGGGGTGTAGCTGTGGCAGATAGGGTTTAGGGTGGTGGTAGAGGGGGGTAAGGTTCTAGATAGGGGGGAAAGGGAGCGGACCAGAAGACCCAAAGCTCTGACTAAACAGTGAGGGATTAAGAGCTCAGAGGAGAAGAACAGGCAGACATGGCTGTCTCTCTGGCTCTGTCTCTCTAGTGATAGCAATGTTTACCCTTCTAATAATACCTAGACCCCTACACTGAGCCACACTAGACCCCATAACAGAGAGACAATGGGGAGGGCAGAGAAAGGGATAGAGAGAGGGAGAGATGGAGAGAAAGACAGAAAGAAAGGGAAGTAGGAAGAAATAAACAATCCAAGTTGGACAAACTGGGAGTTGGAAGGAAAGAGCATACATGAAGGTACAGAGGAGAGAGAGTGGTAGAGAGGTTACAGTATGTGGGTCGAGAGTGGAACATTGTGTTCTGGGCAGAGAGCCGATAGAGATAGTAACCTTCTGGGGGAAAATATAGAAATAGAGATGACAGGGACATGAAATCGTGACGGGGGAAAGGTTAATGTTACAGTATACTATGTACCCAACGTACAAGCAAGAATTCAGTAGAGACGTCCAGTTACTTGTTGCTCAGTCAGTCTACAAGTTTTACATTTCCGGTAAAATGTTAGGTACTAATTTGATCACCCTGTTGCAGGGGAACTTTTAGGAAATTTAAAACTTGTAGTGTTTTGATGTTTGATAATTTCCACTTTGGAATTTCAGACTTGATTTTCCTTACAGAAAATGTATAGTGTATAAGCCCCTACAAAAATGTCCATAAATTATAATCCACATAATAATTCAAATTTCTTGTTAATGCAGGATTATTTTCCTGCTGTAGCAAACTTGCTCAAATTAAGATCCTACATCTGTACTCTCCTTAGTCCAGAGCTTGACCATATTTCTTCTACCCCACTAATAAAGCTGTATGTTGAAGTGTCTAACCCAGCTCAGCTGTTGCTGCCTGAACAGAAGCCTGTAGGTGCAAGATCATGAGTTAGCCATGTTGTTTACAGCTGATAATCAGTCAGGCGTAGATTAATCTATCATCACCACACCCCATTTACTCTCTCTCTCTCTCTCTCTGTGTGTGTGTGTGTGTGTGTGTGTGTGTGTGTGTGTGTGTGTGTGTGTGTGTGTGTGTGTGTGAGATGTTCTTTGTGATGGTTGTACTCAACTATTTTTATTAAGACAGGTCAACACACAGAGAAAAGTGAAAAGCACTTCAGATTTTACTATACAAAAATAATTCTGAAAACATTTTAAACACATCACATGAAAACAGATAGGGGAGAGTGGGATAAGTTGATGTCAGGGGTTAGTTGAGCTGCCCTTGTTTCTAGGAAACCATACACAAAATGAATAATTTGACCAAATATTTAGGAAGAGATCATCATTTCATTGAGTCTGTGAATGAAGAAACCACATGGAAAATGTTTTCTATACATCATTTGGGGTCTCTATAAGCTTCAATATGAGGTCCTAAACCTATCATGAAAGTGCATCCTTGTAGCTGTGTGAGCTAATATAGTCAAAATGCTTGCCTTGGGGTAAGTTGAGCCGATGGTTGAGCCAATGGCAAGTCGAGCAAATTGAAGTGTTTTCTTCCCAGACGTAATGAAAGGCATTATCACTGGGATATGAGGTAACAACAGGGCCTAGCCTATGTTAAAAGTGATTTAAAAAGTACCAAGTGTTAGGTGTTAAGCCTATGTTAAAAGATGCTTAAAATTACTAAAAGACAAAAAAGTGATTGTGATGGTGTTGAATTGTGTTTGGGAAATAAAGATAGACATGGTTTTTAAAAGGTAGTGGTAATATTTCATTCAGTACAGAAATTTGTAGATGGCTTAACTTACCCCATACCCGGGACAAGCTATGTTTTCAAAACTGTAATGTTTACATGAATTCCATTTATTTCCAGGGATCCACAACATCCTGAACTATATGTAGATGATATCTTCGATGGAAAGAATACTATATTTCCCTTGACGGAGTGATGCTGAATGTAAAAAATATCTCAACTTACCCCACTCTCCTCTACAACAGTAGAGACTCACATCATGCTGTATGATCTGTTCACTAACTCTACCGGATATATCAGATGTCAACATTAGCACACAGCTAGATGGGTAGATCATACACAGTCAAAGGACATAGACGATATATAGATGATAAGTCTTGATCATACAGGTTGTCAGTCAATTTCAATGACTTGAGTCATGATCCGGGACCATCCAGACATGTCAGCACACACACACCTCCCACTGGGCACACACTGGTTGAATCAACGTTGTTTCCACGTCATTTCAATAAAATGACGTCGAACCAACGTGAAATGGACGTTGAATTGACGTCTGTGCCCAATGGGCTCCTTTGTCTGGGTTCCCAGCGTGGGATCATGTTGTACCGTTCTGTCCTCTCACCCAGGATTAGAGTGTGTCAATGACTTCTGGAGGTCTGGAGGCTCACCAGCTCTCCATTGTTACAAAAGAGAGGGCTGGATGCCAAGGTATGTTGAGCCCACCTCTCCCTCTGTGCCCACTTTCTTTTTCAGTTCCAATTATCTTCTGCTCTCTCTCACTGTGTCAATTTTGAAGCATCTTTGATATCTTCGTATTTCCCTTCTCTCACCTCCCTCATCTGTGCATGGTCATTCTACATGAATATACCAATAAATTCATCTTCATACATACATTGGTTTAGGATATAAAACATCCTGCAGTATAATACTGTGAAGTGTCATTGCCATTGTATGACAAGTGGGGTAAAATGTACCACTGCATACAATGCGGTCAGAATGCCATACTATCCTATGTGGCCTATCCGCAACTGGCTTCAGCCAGACAGGGGGGCAGGGGCAGTTCATTCAGTGTATAGAAGTGACAAGGCCACAAGGCCAGTCTGGTCTTTTCTAGTCAGCAGGGAGATTAGCTTATGGCACAGCTGAAAGAACACACCCCAGAGCATTTGTCTGCCTTTCTGTCAATCAAAAGATGCTATCAGATCTCTAAGCAAACAATACCTTGTATAACAAACAGTATGACATTGGACATATCCATAGTATACATGTAATACCTAATGAAACAGGAAAGGTATGCACTGTGTGACGGCTTTACTAGGGAATAGAGATGAAATAAATGTCACTAGGAATACATCTATATACATCCCTCTATGCTGTTTTCTGATGGGCTGAGCCCCACAATTAACCTTTATCCCTAACATCCATTCTTTCAGCTTCTCTCCTTCCTCTCCTCTTCCTTCACCCTCTCTGGACCTCCTGTGACACGGAGCGGCCCAATGCTCTGGGCACCTTTGCGAACTCCATCTTGAGTGGCTTGACGGGGGGCAGGTCCTGTGTGATTTCGACCACTGCCTTCTTGCCAGGGCAGGCACCGTCGGGGATGGGGAAGGGACGGAGGTCCTCCTGGGTGTGTGGTGCTCCACGACCCAGCCGGATGCCCAGCTGTGCAGGGGTGAAGATGGGCAGGGGCAGGGTTTTCCTCTTGGGCAGGAGCTGGTGCTCCCTCACACCCCTCTCCATGGTGCCCACTCTGTAAACCCCACAGGGACAGGCCTGGGCCAGGGAGCGAGCCTCCCACTGCCTAGTGTAGGTCTCCCGACAAGAGTCATCATTCATGTTCATTGTCTGCCTGTGGAGAGATGAGTTGGACATTGCTCAGTGATTTTCAAACTCTAATGGTCTCTCAGTATCAAGCTGAGAATCCTACCAGCGAAATGAAAATCATTAAATGTAATGTCAGCTGATAGATTAGCCTGACAGTTATTATAACAAAGATACATTATACAGTAGTCTTGAGTATGATGACTCACATGGTAATATAGGAGGACGTATTGCTTATTGTTATTTTATATAAGAATAAATTACTTAATATTGTTCAATGTGTTACATCTACCAGAAGTAATGAATACAGTTTGTCTAAAGGCTGGGACTCACCTGTCCATGGCCCGGGTCTTCATGTTAACACTGTTCCAGTCGGCTTTGTAGCTCTCCCTCTGAGCCTGGTTCTCCTCCCGTACGCTGCAGGCCAGCTCAGCCCCCACCACAGCCCCAGCACGCTTCTCAAGAACGGTACACACCTGCATTATCACTGTTCTGTGTGGGTGAAGTTCTGTCCTTCTATCGGTTTAATCACCTCCGTTAGTTTCTCAGACTCCTCTGTCTGTCTGTCTGTCTTGGTATCTCTGTGTTCTTCTCTCTGGACTATCTGTCTGTCTGTAGCTGCTAGCCCCAAGTACTCTGTGATGGTACTCCTCTCTCTTGCCTCTGTGGTGATGGTCTGGTGGTCTCTGCTGTTTGTGTCTGGGACCATGCCCGTCTATGTCCTTTATAGAAGCCCTGCTGCTATTTCTAAGCCATGTTGTCACTCCACAGCTAGTGTATGCTGACACCTGACACCAAGAGCAGCCCACCTGACTTTGTCCCAGGAGTTGGAACTGACTCACTCAGGGCAGCTGTTGAGAAAGAGAGAATGAGGTGGCTGGGGGAGAGAGAATGAGAGAGGGTGGTATCTGGGTGAGAGAGAAAGAGAGTGTGGAAAAAAGAGATAGGAGTGGGTGGGTTACCGGTAATTGTACTCAGAATCCCCTGATACCCAAATTATACCCCCAATCCCCTCTATAATCACCCCGACCCAACACGCTAAGTTGAGGGACATCCGGTTATCAAACTAAGTGGAAAGTTTCCATCTTAAGAGCACTATCTGACCCAGTGTTCAGAGACTTGTAAACACACACAAACACACAGGGGGGGACTTCTGAGAGCTGGCATCTTAATAGAGCTTAGGTCTTGATGTACATATAGCAGCCAGTGGCAGAACACTAATGTGGAAAGAGATCAGCCCATGCTAATAATGCTGGGTGCTGAGGGGAAACTTTATTGCTCCAAGAGACAATACATAGATTGAGCATACAAAACATGAACAACTCTTTCCATGACATAGACTGACCAGGTGAATCCAGATGAAAGCTATGATCCCTTATTGATGTCACTTGTTAAATCACTTCAATCAGTGTAGATGAAGGGGAGGAGACAGGTTAAATAAGTATTTTTAAGCTTTGAGACAATTGAGACATGGATTATGTATGTGCCATTCAGAGGGTGATTGGGCAAGACAAAAAATGTAAGTGCCTTTGAACGGGGTATGGTAGTAGGTGCCAGGCCGCAGGCGCACCGGTTTGTGTCAAGAACTGCAACGCTGATGGGTTTTTCATGCTCAACAGTTTCCCGTGTGTATCAAGAATGGTCCACCACCCAAAGGACATCCAGCCAACTTGACACAACTGTGGGAAGCATTGGAGTCAACATGGGCCAGCATCGCTATGGAACGATTTCGACACTTTGTAGAGTCCATGCCCCAACGAATTGAGACTGTTCTGATGGCAAAAGGCAGCTCAATATTATAAAAGTGTTCCTAATGTTTGGGATACTTAGTGTACATGTACCTACACTACCAGTCAAAAGTTTGGACACACCTACTCATTCAAGGGTTTTTCTTTATTTTTACTATTTTTTACATTGTAGAATAACAGTGAAGACATCAAAACGATGAAATAAGACATATGGAATCATGTAGTAACCAAAAAAGTGTTAAACAAATAGCCACCCTTTGCGTTGATGACAGCTTTGCACACTCTTGGCATTGTCTCAACTAGCTTCATGAGGTAGTCACCTGGAATGCATTTCAATTAACAGGTGTGCCTTCTTAAAAGTTCATTTTTACAACAATTTGTGGAATTTCTTTCCTTAATGCATTTGAACCAATCAGTTGTGATGTGACAAGGTATACAGAAGATAGCCCTATTTGGTAAAAGACCAAGTCCATATTATGGTAAGAACAGCTCAAATAAGCAAAGAGAAACGACAGTCCATGATTACTTTAAGACATGAAGGTCAGTCAATACGGAAAATTTCAAGAACTTTGAAAGTTTCTTTAAGTATAGTCGCAAAAACCATCAAGCGCCTTAATGAAACTGGCTGTCATGAGGACCGCCACAGGAATGGAAGACCCAGAGTTACCTCTGCTGCAGAGAATACATTCATTAGAGCTATCAGCCTCAGAAATGTCAGCCCAAATAAATGATTCACAGAGTTCAAGTCACAGACACATCTCAACATCAACTGTTCAGAGGGGACTGTGTGTATCAGGCCTTCATGGTCGAATTGCTGCAAAGAAACCACTACTAAAGGACACCAATAAGAAGAAGAGACCTGCTTGGGCCAAGAAACATGAGCAATGGACATTAGACCGGTGGAAATGTGTCCTTTGGTCTGGAGTCCAAATTTGAGATTTTTGGTTCCAACCGCTGTGTCTTTGTGAGACGCGGTGTGGGTGAACAGATGATCTCCACATTTGTAGTTCCCACCGTAAAGTATGGAGGAGGAGGTGTTATGGTGTTGGGGTGCTTTACTGGTGACACTGTCAGTGATTTATTTAGAATTCGAGGCACACTGGTTTCCCATCTGGTTTGGGCTTAGTTGGACTATCATTTGATTTTCAACAGGACAATGACTCAACACACCTCTAAGCTGTGTAAGAGCTATTCTACCAAGAAGGAGAGTGATGGAGTGCTATATCAGATGACCTGGCCTCCACAATCCCCCGACCTCAACCCAATTGAGATGGTTTGGGATGAGTTGGACGGCAGAGTGAAGGAAAAGTAGCCAACAAGTGCTCAGCAGATGTGGGAACTCCTTCAAGACTGTTGGAAAACCATTCCTCATGAAGCTGGTTGAGAGAATGCCAAGAGTGTGCAAAGCTGTCATCAAGGCAAAGGGTGGCTATTTGAAGAATCTCAAATATAAAATATATTTTGATTTGTTTAACACATTTTTGGTTACTACATGATTCAAAATGTGTTATTTCATAGTTTTGATGTCTTCGCTATTATTCTACAATGTAGAAAATAGTAAAAATAAATAAAAACCCTTAAATGAGTAGGTGTGTCCAAACTTTTGACTGGTACTGTATACTGCATATAAACATAAACATACATACAGATTGTGAAACTAACAGTTATCTTGGTAGCTAGCAGGGTGAAACTGCTGAGTTCAGGGTTGTCTCTTTCAGTAACCATGGAGAGCCCTGGCATGTACGGCCTTGCTATATCTGGGGTAACAGTTCCTTTTAGAGACTCAAGATCAAAGGTGATGTTCTGTAGGCAGGTGGTCAGTCTGTTTTAGATAAAGCAAGGCTATACATGCTACAGAACAGACACCAGGCAAATGCATTGACCAAGGGACCAACTCTTTTTTTGTATAAACTACAGTCAGTAAAACACAAGTCATTTTTATTTGTCTGGAGTACCTTGTGAATCTGTTATCTAGCTGATTAGCTGTGTTGTATCAGTGTTTCGTCTGTCACGGACAGTGACTTCTATCTCTGATTTATTAGTCTGATGACAGAGACCCACTCCAGCCAAGAGTCTCTCAGGTTACAGTCTTAAAGATTTTCTCTCTCTCACGCACACACACATATGCACGCGCACACGCGCACACGCACACACACACACACACACACACACACACACACACACACAAAACACCCACACACATGCAGTGTCGCCTTGGTGTCACTACCAGCCACTCTTTCAATGACTAACTCTTCCACATCAGGCACTGATGTCATCCTATATATAACACCGGCATAGCAAAAATACATATAAAGTTACACATGTATCCTTTGCTTGTATCTATTTTTCAATGTAAAATATTTTACACAGCTGCATAGTTATCTTATAATAGAAAATAGTATAAAGTATTGGATTAATTCCTCTCCCTCAACTTTAGGTTATACATTAGTTATGACTTATTAGTTTCAATTAACATGCTCATGTACTTCATCTAGTTGAAATGTCCTCAAATAAAACCTCATAAAAATGTCCCCTAAGTACAGCAATATATTCCTATTCTCATGTGTACCATAATGACACAATGTATGTAAGATATCACATTGCAGATGCAAGCAAGCACACACACACACTATGTGTTATGCAGCCATGGTAACCATAAAATGTCATTTCAGTTCAGGATTCCCATTGCAGAAACCTAGTAAGTCTCGAGGCATACTTCTGTAGTGAGGTCATTCTCTTTTTCAAAAAACATAGAACTAAATCAATTTAGACATTTTATAAGACAATCACTCAGTATCTGTTCAAACATTTTATAAGATAATCAGTCTCACTTTTTTTAAGACTCATACAACTGGGCGGCAGGTAGCTTAGTGGGTAAGAGCGTTGTGCCAGTAACCGAAAGGTTGCTGGTTCTAATCCCCGAGCCGACTAGGTGAAAAATCTGTCGATGTGCCCTTAAGCAAGGCACTTAACCCTAATTGCTCCTGTAAGTCGCTCTGGATAAGAGCGTCTGCTAAATGACTAAAATGTAATGTAAATGTAACTAGCACATACAGTACATTAGTGACTGTCAAATGAGTCATTGTTACCACTTTTTTTTATCGCTTTGGTGCTATATTCACAAACGTAACATTTGTAACGCAAGTAAAGAACAAGAAGGCCCGCACACTGTTAAAGCTCCCAATTCACCGCTTTATTGACAACGTTTAGATCTTCGTCAGGTCAAACAAACAAACTAAGTGCCTACCCCTGGTCCTTAAAAAAAAAAACCCCTTTTCTAAAAACAAAATTTCATGAAATAACTAAAAAAATGTAAACTGTAGACCTTTATTTCCCTTTATAGTTTATTCGCCTAAGCATGACCTTCATCCACATACCATTTATTTTCCAAACGTAGCTTTTTTTTGTCAGCAATTAGACATTGTTCTTAGGGGGGGCTAGTTACCCCCTAGTACGCTAATGATGCCCTTAATTTTAATAGCCTTGCCCATAATAGGGCGATTGAATATTGTGCATTTGTTCGTAAAGTTACGCTGGGTACGTCGGCCACATCTATAATTACCGTCCGTCACATTGTCTAGGAAGGTACTACGTGGCACTGGTGGAAGATCAGACCTCACCACCATTTGACTGATGTTGGGGGCGCGTCTGAAGACTACCCGAGGAGGTTCTTTAAACCTCTGTTCCAGTTGTAGATCAGTGCTCAAGATGTGCCAGTGTTTTTTAATGATGTGGTCAAACTGTTGGGGAATACTGTTAAGTTGCGTCAATTCAAATCTGGTATTAGGAACAAAAGAGGTCAATACACGTCTTCTAAAATAGACTAGTATTTTAATTAATGCAAACCACTTAAATGGTAAATATGATGTTCGTATATACGGGTCCACTGAAATACCACGCAGGGCACTGAGAGAACTGATCCATTGTTCTAAGTTCTTCTTCAAATACTCTGACAGAGATAGTTCCCGCTCCCTGCTGGCCAATCAGAGTAGAGACTGAGCGTGGTTTA